GATAGTCTACTCTGTGGCTCTCCTCTATTCTTTAGTGGGGTTGAACACTATCGGCGGGGAGGCTAGACAACTGTTCAATTGCTTCGTGAGAGTTGGCCGCGGTGACCTCAGTCTCGGGAGCGATCAGGTCGCTGTCTAGATGGCCATCTGCGGTTGGTGCTTGACCTATGAAGTCCTCGTACGACTTGTATGATTGCAGCGATACGACAAAGCCTGCGGAATTGGGATCATGGCGTCCCCAAGCTCGGGTATGATCAAGACTCTTTGTTGGGCATGCGTTGGTTCCTGCCTCACATGACCATGTCCGATTCTCTGCACCTGGTCTACAAAGCCCCGAGATTCAATCTACGGTGATTGCAGTGAACTTATTATGGGTATTCTCAACAAGGAAGCATAGTTTTTGAGAGAACATCCAATGTACTTACGAGATCCGGTTCTCGACATAACTGACTCCTCGAACCCTGTTGGTTACTCGAGAGGCGGCCAAGTTCTCTCAAAAACATTGAGTTATTCCCTTGAGCGTCTCATACACGCCAGAGGGAGAGTTCGAAAAGCTATCCCGGGGGAAGAAGATTCTACCGGCGGTGTAGTTCGGTTTCGGGGATTGATGAACGCCCCTATTCCAAAAGTTCTAGTCGGGTCATGATGGAATGGAATAACACATCTTGAATGCAATGAATACAAGCGTGTAAAATCTAGGTCAAATTGGAGGAAATAAAATCGGAAGAAATGTTGAAAGCAATGGAAAAAGGGGCGATTGTCATATTGAAGAGAAGAGAAGTGTCAATACAGAAAGCAACTGACAAAACAAAGTTCAAAACAAATCAAGAGCCATGAATGCTCAGCAGCTATCAAGGAACCAAGGATACCGGAGAAACAAAATCAAGACCATGTGCAGATGAAGCAAAAGTCTCGATATCGTGTCCCTGCCAGCATCCAAGAACAGAAGCAAACCACTGTGTCTCTGTGCCCCACATACGCCACATCTTCGCAATCTTCAGAAGTCGTCCCCAAATACAGCAAAAGCCAAAGATCTTAGCTACTGCATAATTTGACTCCCGGTGGCACAAATCCCGCCAATGCCAACCAGCAATCAAGCAATCTGGAACGTCTTCGCATTCCATCCAAAAGCCTTCGTCAACCTATGAGCCATCTTACGCGACCGGTACCCCTCGACCCTCGACGACGCGCTGCCGTGCGTGATGTGGAACTGAATCGACTGCTTCCATCTCGAAGTGCCATCTTCCCGCGGCAAGGGTACGAAGGCGATTGCGGAGCCCTTTTTCTTGTCGGCGGTGAAGCCTACTTCAGCCATGGCGGCTATGAACTCGGGCCAGGTGAGGGATCCCTGGTGGAGGGACTTGTCGAACATTGTTGCCATGACGGTTGCTGTCCGGGCGCTGACGTAGATGACTTCTTGGGGAGGAGTCGAGGGTCCGTCTTCGGTGTCGGGTTTGTCGAGGAGGCTGGCGTCTTGGTTGCGGGGGCCTTCCACGATCTCCTGTTCGTCCTCGTTAGGACGCTGGTTCTCATTCTGCTCGTCATCATCTCCATTATGCTCCTCATGCTCTTGATCATCTTCGTGAAGAGATTCGCCGGAGCTAGCCTCGGTTGGCGTAGTTACAGCACCAGAAACCCTGCCTGAGGCCTCGGGGTAGTTGGCCCAGGGATCAGAAGCCTGCGGCTCAGCGTCAGCAAGTACAGACTCAGAGTCGCCCGGGTCCTGCGAAGCGTTGAAGGAGACACCGTCGCCGGGAAGATCGAGCTCAGGCTCATTCAAGGAGAGCGATCCGGTCACGGAAGTCGCGAGCTCATCCCACGAGGAATCCCCATCAGGCTTTGACAGCCACGGGGTATTCAGATCGTTGACCCATGCATCGTGACCCTCCTCAAGCTCCGGCAGGACATCAGACTTCTCTACGACTTTCTCCGGCTTCTTCTTTTTCGGCTTTCTCTTCTTCTTCTTGGCAGGCTCAGCCGACTTCTCCGACTCACATTGACACGACTTGGGGAAGCAGACGTCAAAGTTGACTCTGCTGCTCTCGTAGTGTCCGAGATCCGGAAAGTTGTCGACACAGCTCTGCACCAGGTTCCAGTAGTGGTTTGCAAGAGAGGTGCCCAGCTTCTCCTCAATCGCATTGGCGACCTTGTCCTTTGCCGCGGAAGTGACGAGAGGCTCAGCTAGCCGGTCAATGTCGGGCGCGATCCTGCGGAGGTCCAGGTTCCTCTTGACGGTGGCGAGCTCGACCTCCAGCTGCTTGACGCGTGAGATGTACAGCTGCCCTTTCGTATCGCTCACGGGCGGGAGGCACAGTTGTTTGTCCAGATCAGAGATGAAGCTCACGAGCAGATTGAGGTTAGAGAAGTTGATGCTCGTGTGGAACTCTGAGAACTCAACGCCCTCTGGGACCATGGTTGCAACTCCTGGGACTTTGTTCTTGTAGTATGGTGCCAGCTTCCTGAGCCAGAAGCTGGCGTGTCTGTGAGTCAATCCTGGCTTGCAAAGCTGCATACCGTAGTATATCTTGCGATTCTTGCTGTCAATTACTCGATCCTTGACGACTACAACTTCGCTGCCCAAGTGATCGTAAGTGTTTGGGACACGCTTGAAGTACTTTTCTGCTTTGCCGCACTGGAGCCATCGTTTGACGCACTCCAGCAACTTCAGGAACTTGAGGTGAAGGACGTTTGATAGCTCCTGCAGCAGGAAGTCGCGTCGTTTGGCCGTCTTTCGCGAGTTGTCCATTATGTGGATTGAACACAGAAGGACGCGAATGTAGTAAGATGTGTTGGAATCCTTCTCAGCAGCGTAGTAGGGATCGAAGATGCAGGCCCCGATGTATCTGTCAAGGTCTCCCACGCTGAGTATGTGTCCGCTGGCGTCTGGGACTCTCTCTGGGAGGCTGAGCCACTAGTTCGTAGCCTCCATCAGGAGAATATCAGGCTTTGTCAGAAGTTTCTGCGACCAGAGAATTGTCTCATCCTCCTCAGCTTTGATGAAGTTGATGAAGGGCCGGAGGCCGGAGTCACTAGTGAGTGTGAGCTGAGGAAGAACCTCGTTCCCATGAACCTCTCCTATGTCGTGTTCGTGACATGTGCAGTTTGGGTGTTTGCGATCGGTGGCCAGGACTGTGAGGATGGTGACGAGCGCTCGATGAAGAATCTCTACCCAGAACATCTGTCTCGCGACAATCAGCTCACCAACAGGACCGGGTACCCACAGATGGCGATCCGTTCTGACGCCGGCTATGGCTTCCCAGTAGGCAACGATGTCGGCAGTGCGAGGGTACTCTTCACAGTCCTCAAATACCATGACGTCGCCGTCAAAGTGTTCAAGACACGGGATGAGATGTTCAGCGAATCTTGCGCAGGTGAAGACGCAGTCGCCTTGTGTGCCATTTGGGCCAATGGTGAATTGGCGGGTGAGAGATTGTGTGGCGCGATGTTCAAGAACGTCGAGGAAGACATTGTTGTCTGAATTGGTGATGTCTTCATGATTCCACTCAGGTCCGAGAAAATGAGAAAATCCGGCGCCAGGGGATTGGACGGATCTCAGAACGGGGCACATGGAGCTGTTCCTCAACACGACCTCTCGTCCCGGTCGGTCAAGTCCCTTCCAGTAGGCGACCACGGTCTCACCATGAGCCTCGTACAGTCGGGCTAGCTCACGATGAGTCTGCGTCAGAAGGCTGTTGGGAAACTTCTTGGTCGGGAGGACTGAGCAAATGTGATTTTTTTCCGGTTCCTTAAGTTGATCCATGATTGCTGCCATTTGATCCATGGGAGCGAGTAACGAGAAGGCCATGTCGCGATGAGTTCGAGTAACGAGGGTGAGAGCGACGCGGCGCGGTTCATGATATTTCACTCGCGACTCAAGTGGGAGACCAAAAAAAGGATGTAGCGGTCAGAAAATTCGTAGTGCGGCGAGTGAAAGAAGGAAGGAAGCATTTGCAAACGGAAGGCGGGGCATCTGATTGGATATTCGAGTTGGAGGCGCGGGAGCAGACATGTTGACCTGAATATTCATCCGATGCCCTCTGGCTCGGATAAACTTTCCACCTGAAGGAATCAAGAAAGGTGACGTCCAAGTCAAAACGCCAATGATGTATGCATGGGAATTTCTTATTTGGACGTCTCTATCCGCGCGGGTAGAGATGACTGGGGGATAGAAGCAGCTATGGATGAGAGACGATCTCAGGGGTAGTTTGTAGGTGCCCCTATCTGGGTTCCCAAAAGCTTGATGACCTTGAATGTTAATGACCTGGAAGCTTGAGAGTATGAGAATGTGAGGTTAAGAGCACATGGGAGAAATGTTGTGGCTCAATATATACTTGGCTGTTCTTGTCGAGAGACTGATGACCAGAGTTGTCTAAGAACAGAAGCTACTGTAACAGCAGAATAAGGTGTTTGCAGCAATGGAATATAAGTTACTGGCATGGCAGCGAAATGCCTTGTGATGTCTGCGATATTCTCACCCAAACAAGTTGCATTGGGAGCTTTGAGCTGGGAGTCTGGGATGACTGCGTACGTGGCATGTTTTAACAACAACTCATCTATAGCAGACTTGCATGATTGTCATTTGGTTTGTCTAGGAGATAGCCAGCCCTCCACTCACTATATCTCGATCAATCAATAAACCAAGTTTCTGGTTCTTGCTTTTCCAGTAACCAACCAAAGGCTAAATTGGGGTGAGTTTCGAGTGAAGTGATGCAATGACAACGCCAACAGCATCAGCTTCCAAGAAACAAAAACACAATGAACAATGAAACCATATTTGCCATGAAACCAATCTTTGATATACCATATTGTACGTTGCTCCCGTCATTACATCAATGCCATCACCCAAACATGACAGCCCCTTTGTCCTCCATCCCAGAAAACCCCCCCATCCATAAGAATATTAACACAAAAGAAGTTGCGAGCAAAAAGGGCCTCTCTCTAAAGCCGCTCTATCCACCCAAACAACACACAATCTATCGTCCCCAGCCTCCCAAACACATCTACCTCCCAAACAAACTGAACCTCAGCTTCCCCTTTTTTGGGCCCGAGCTGTGCCCGCTCATCGGCCGATCATCATAGCTCATAATACTCGACGCCGGTCTCGGCACCGTCCTGGGCGGACTATTCTGATACATCTGCTGCTGACTCTGCTGCTGCTGCATCATCTGCTGCTGCTGCTGTACCTGCTGAGGCGGCGCATAATCACCGCGCAGCGCACGCTCGACATCGAGGTGCTGCCTCTCGTACTCATCGTGCTTAGTCTTCGCATCGACGAATCTTTGCTCGGCTAGACGGCGGCGCTCCTGCAGGAGGCGAAGCTCCTCGTCGTACTGCGCCATCTGACCCTGAGCTTCGTCCATGAGGCGGTGGTACTCGAGCATCTTGCGCTGGAGGGGCTCGAGGACGGATTTGGAGATGCTGGGGCTGTTGACGCGGCTGATGTCGCTGAGGGTGCTCTCGTTCACGGCTGGCGGGGAAGGAGGGCGAAGACCGCCTGCCGGGTTGGGGATGTGCTGCTCTCGCTGTTGCTGCTGTAGCTGCTGGGACGGGAGTCTATCTCTGGGAGAGTGCTGGCTTTCGGGCGGGCCGCGCGGGGACGCGCCGCCGCTCATTTGGGGCGGGTCCGGGGCTCCCGGGGCGCGGCTGCCGGTGGAGGATTGCCGGCGGGCGTGGCGCTCTGTGCGGCGGCGGGAGTAGCCGCCTGCTCCTGCGGCGTCCTTGGACGGGCTCCATTCGTCGGGGTTCTCGCCCATGTAGGGCGGCAGCTGGGAGTTGACTGGCGGGGGCTGGGAGCGGCGGTTCTGGGATGCGTTTGCGGCGGCGGGGGGTGCGCGAGGGCCTGCGGCGCGGGGTTGGCCTCCGTTGCGGCCGTTTGTTGGGATTACGCGCTGCTGCATTGCGGTCAGATGGCTTTTTCGGTGACGATGCGGGTTGTGTATGTGCATGTGTGTTTGTGCGTTGTGTTATGTGATTTTGTGTGTAGTGTGTTGGGTGTTGGGGGGAGGGCGGTCTCAAAAGCCGCCCTTGAGTGAGATGAGTTGGAGATTGTGAGTTTGGGTAGTGAGTGAGTGAGTAAGATGAAGTGAGGTGAGCTAAGTTGGGTGAAGTGAGTTCTTGAGTGCTGGGGTGAGAGAGAGATAAGGGGGTGGGTGGTTGAGGTGTATTGGAATTGAGCGTGGCTGGTGCGTGTCTCGCCGAGCCATTGCTTTTTTTTCTTCTACTACTCTCACTCTCCGATCGATCCCTCATCTCAAAAATTCCCCTAATTGAACTTTACGTCTGTAAACTCACCTGTTGATGGGGCGCCTGCGCGAGCACGGCATCATGCAGCGCAGCGTCAGAGCTAGCCCGCGGATCCTCACCGCCGCTGGGCCCGGTAGTGAAGCGAGAATCGTCGTCGAGGGAAGGGGAACGCGGTCTTCGATACCGGCCGTTCCTGCCGCCCTCACCGCGGGATTGACGCTGCTGAGAAGAGGACGGGTCGCTGTGGTGGCCGCTGTTGTTGTCGTACTGCTGGCCGTACTCGACAAAGTCGCCGGGGAAGTGGATGGGCGGCGAGCCCTGTGTGTGTTGCTGCTGCTGGAGTCCCATGGCCATAATGGCAAACGAGACGGGGTCGATGTCTCTTGCGGCGGCGGCGGGGTGGTGGTGGTGTTGGGGCAGAATGGTTGTGAGTTTGGTGGTGGTGATGTTGGTGAGGTGCGGATAGAGTTGACGTTTGGTTTTTAGTGTTTTGACAGGTTTGACGTGAAGTGAGATTGATCCTGAAAAGACAACTCAAGATGGACTAGGTAAGATAGGCCGGGAGTGACCGTTGAGAACCGTTGGATTGAGGGGCTTGTCTTGTCTCTCTCTGTATGTCTGTGTCTGGTGCCTGTGTCTCAACTCAGACGATGTCAACACACAGAAGAAAAAGAAGCGTGGTTGCAAGATCTCGCCAGGCGCGGAAGCTAACGGAAGAAGGGAAAAGGATGATACTATCCGAACTCAAAAGCAAAAAGAGGAACAGACAATGTACCCGAGCGAGAGAAAGAATTTGGGCTCTCGGACATTTCAGGGTTTGACAACTTGACTTTCGTAAAGATTCAAAGTGGCTGGGAAACGAGCACAGAGAGTACTCCGTACTTTCGTATGCACTAACAAATTCCCAACGTCCACTTAAATCGCACCACATTTAATTACGTGCAGCGCTGCTGTGGTGTCGTCCAGCTCGGCGGGGCAGCGCCCATCTTCTCGCGCCTTCAGGTCCCCCCGTGGGCCCCGTCGGGTGTCGACAATTCCAGTGGCTGGGGGGTTCCACTCAACCTTCAACTTTGCGGATACTCGCACATTCACCTGGCTGCGCCCAAACGTCGCCCAACCTCCACGATTGTCAACTTTGTCTGCCCACATCACCGATATCTGCGGCTCTCATACATTCTCGGATCCCGGGAAGCTCCAATCAGGCGGAATGGGTGGGATATACTCCGTATCCTCAACTCCAAGTTTCGCGAATCGCTGGGACTGGGTTCAACTTCCGGGGTGCCACGCCGAGTGGACGATGCTGCCCTGTTCCGTTTTTAGACGCCTGCACTCTTCAATCGACGAATCACCTGGGATGAAGAACATGTCGCCTTCGGTTTTGAAAGTCACCACTTACCCCTTTTACTCTTTCAGGGCCAACCTTGAATGCTTCATGACATGCTTTTGTCGCTCCTGAGTTCTCATGGGTCTCTGCACACCTGCTCCGGGGAAATTACCCCAGCCATTCCATTAAACCATGGCGTCCTGGCAGCAAACGTCCTGCAAGTCACAGGTGAACATGGAGTGGCTGACAAGTGAAAAGTGGACTGGTACGAAGCTAGGATCTTGATCCCACAACACTGTATCCAAGGTCCGGAACAGAGACGGACACTCGGTAGACAAGGGCCGGCTCTCTTTCCGCCGCTTGTTCACGCAAACCCGTGACCGGTGCCGAGGGCCGACTATCTCCGTGCAATACCCACAATTGACCGGCCGACGTTGTGGAGACGCTGCGGTTTCATCGCACCGATGTGAGGTTCAGACACCCCCGACGTCTTCTCCAACCGCTCTGAAGTTCACTCTCCACATAACAGAGGGATCTCGGCTTACGCTTATACTGCTTATCGCCATCGTACTCATAAACATGCCCCTCAAACTCGAACGTCGTGGTTCGATCCTCTTCCAGTGACTTCAGGAAGTTAATCAAATCCATGTTTCCGCTCATAGCAGCACATACAACGGCGATTCGATAACTGCCAGCCCGTCGAAAATCGGCCATTGCACCTATAGCCAACAAACACTTTACCATACCTAAGTGGCCCCCGAGGCAAGCAAGCTCGAGCGGCGTCTGAGTATCTCTAGCCCTCGGACAATGTTTTGCGCCCTCCTTTACCAAGAGCTTCACCGTTTCGATGTGACCCTCGCCCGCCGCCCACATCAGAGGCGTCCGCGAAAAGAGCTTGTATCTGCTTTCCAGTTTAGTCTTGTTACCATTGGCACCACGAAGATGCGCTTTGACTCGCGAAGTTATCCCCGACCGGGCAGCGTCAAAGATGTCCCGGCAGTGGCGATCTCCTGCAATTCTGATGATTATGGAGACCAGCTTGTCTTGTTCATCCGGAAGACAATCCTGCCACTCCTTCCCAGGACCAAGGCACATGGTTGCCAACCCATCAGTAGACAGCCCCCGTCCAAGGCAAATGCGAACGCATTCACGATCGCCGCCGTATCCAGCAGCCCAAAGGACGCTCCCATATTGCCCACTAGCGACGTTCGGGTTCGCACCCCTCTGCAGCAAGAGTTGAAATGCGCTCAAATTCCCCGAAGCACCTGCAGCATGAAGAGGTGTTCCAACTTTACCTTTACCGAAGTTGATGTCGGCACCATATGTTAACAGAAGCTCGATGCATGCCAAGTTACCTGCATATGCTGCACATTGAAGTGGTGTGGCCAGGCCAGCGACTTTGTTACAGCTGCGATCAGCCTCGATATCGGGCGATATGTTACGCGGCGTCTTCCGCAATATTACTTCCAACACATCTGGGTCACCCTCCATAGCTGCGCATTGCAAGAGACTGCCGGATCTTCTGCTGACGGGATAGAGACTTGCGCCGCGGTCAATCAGCCACTCCATCGTCACCGGATCCTTAGCTTTGTAAGCGCAAAACATGGCTGGGGTGTCGCCAAACAAGTCGGAGGCGTCAATATTCCCACCATTGTTTAGGATTAGATCCATCGACTCCAGAGCCCGATGAAGAACTCCGTAGTGAAGAGGAGCGCGGCTCCCTTTACTGTGCCCATTAGGATCATGGCCAGCATCTAGAAGACGCTGGACGACGCGCCACAGGTTCCATTGTATTGCGTGGTGGAGAGGTCGATCGATATAGTGTCCGTTGAGCAGTCGTTCCTTGGTGGCTGGTCGACCGTCGTCGACAAGCTTACTGCCGTCTCTGATGTGAATGTCCCACGCATAGCCCTCCACTGGTGTTGCAGGTCCATGGCAGCCTGCCACACGGTGCCAGTTTATGTAAGCACCATCCTTGTGATGCAACAATGCGAAAATCAAGTCGTCAAGACTGCCACGGTCGGACTCTGTATTCGCATCCCTCGCGTGATGGACCCAGTTTAGAGCAGAGTACAGCAAGAAGGGAACCTCTTCCAAAGTGTGTGGCCCGAAGCGGCTGACGTCGTTCTGATCCAACAGACACGCAACACCTTTGGCGGCCATGAAAAGGTGTCCCTGTCCAGGTGTTGTGTAGAATGCAGATGCCGGTCCATTACGCAGATGTTCAGAGACAAGATAGTCCTTCACCGAGGCATGCGCTAGCCGCATTTCTCGCTTCTTCGTTTCGCCTTCGCCGCTGGTGGAAATCGACACTATGCTCGAGCAAAGAGAAAGGAGCTGATTCAAGTAGACTGTATTTTTACTCTTCTTTGCTCGAGGGTAGTCTTTAATCGATATGCTGATGATATTCATGACTTCGCTGACCTGTAGAGGCCTTCGAGCAAAGGCCAATGCTACTAGGACGCCTCGAACTCGCGCCGCCGACTTGGCATCCATATTCATGAGGATTCTTTCATACGTCGATGGCAAGTCCGACGGCAAAGAGGCTAGGGTCTCGTCGACTTGTTCAGAATCAGTGCACTTTTCCAAAGAGTCTAGTTGGCAATGCACCCAACGAAACCTTGATCATCCCAGGTTAGCTGCTTGTCTTCTGGTAAGCAATAAAGGAAAGAAGGAAGGATAACCTACATTCCACCGGCCATTTCGATTAGCTGGGTTTCCACTTTAGCTCTATCTTCCCCTGTCCACTCCTTCATTTCTTCCGAGTGGTGAATTCTTTGTCGAACATAGGCTGCAATATCCTGATCAACATGGGCGCCGCACAATGATAACTCTGTTGAGGAAGCTGACAGGACCTTTTCAATCTGCTGTTCTCGGCGGCTCAGGAGGACTAGGTGAAGATTGCGCACCGACTGCAGCTCTTTGAAGATGTCCAGCAACTTTTTACGTTCCGAGCACTCGTCTAACGCATCGACTACAAGGAATACTCGATGAAAACACCCCATAGTGGCTACTGTCGCTTCTAAGAACTCTTCAAGCCCTGGCTGTTGATCTTGGGCTTCCGGAAATCGATTGCGGAAACCGAGAAGAATATCAAAGGCCGCAGGTTTCTTTGCAGCAAGTTGAGCGATGCATGTACGTAGAAATGACTGGGCTTCTTGCTGCGACTCGTTGGAGAAATCGAAGTACGAGTAAACAACAGCTGACGTAGATGTTTGGGCTTCGCTTAGCAAAGATGTCACTATGGTCGAGCTTATGATGGTCTTTCCGGCTCCCGGCATGCCGGACAACCATAAAGTACCCGGGTTTTCCTTCCAGTGTTCGAATTCGGGCGTCTTCAATATCCATTCTCCTGTGCCTGGATGTCGCTTTTGTAGAGCATTTCTCAGGTTCTTCCACACGTCGGGTGGATTCAGCCATGCTAAAATGGCCTTATTCGACTCGGACTCGATGTATTGTCTCATGTAGGATTCATGCTCATTGAGCATGCGACGAATGTCCATTACGATAGCCCTAGTCCCGTCAGTCTTGCGGCCAGTGTCTGCTACATACTTAGATCTCACAATGACTGCGTCTCAACAGCAAGGCCTAGATGTGTCCTAGTTGAGACGATATTGGACAGAATTCGGTCAATCTTCCTCTTCCGGATTGGCCATGACGCTGACGGGATCTTTCCTAGGAGATTGGAGACTTCGATAACATCTTTTTGGCAACACGCCACAATGCTGTCTTCTCCTTCCAACATCTCCCGCAGAGCTTCTGCATGTCCAGACTTCGGTTTATCGGGATCGCTGTCTAGGACTACATCCAGTAGCTGCTGAAGGACGCGAACGAGGTCGCGCATCTCCCTCGCCAATCTTTTATGGGTGTCTTTGGCATCTCTGAAATCTGCGTAGATCTTGTATACTTGGATGGTGGTCTTGAGTGCCACATCGATCAGCTGCAAGATGGCAGCGGCCCCGCCGACTGCTTCCATGATGACTCCCTGAACTCGGGAAAATCGTCGACAAATTTGTATGAAGAACCCGGA